GCGTCCGAACACGTATCCAGGGCTTCGTTTATCTTCCGAGGCCCGCGTGAAGACCACGTGCCACACTGGCCGGTAATGGAACCCGGCTTTTGAACCGCGACCTCCCAGGACACCACAGTTCCCAAAAGACGCCACGGCCAGACGCTACTTCCGGCCAGCACGCATATTTCCGGCGGGGCAGGAGGGGGCGGGGCCATGAGTGCGATGGACACGCCTCTGCGCGTCGCGCTATTGTGACGCAGTATTCTGAGCCGACTCTGGACTTTGAGAGAGTTGCCTAGAGTCCGCGTCTTCGGGGCGTCCAGGTGAAACGCTATTGGACTACATTTCCCAGAAGGCCAATGGGCCCTGTTGCGCTTCTCGCCGGAACTCCAATGTTAGTTCGGAGGGATGCGAGACCTTAGTCTCCAGAGGATCTGCTTTAGGTCTGCAGGTTACCACCAGGCGAGACCGCAAGGGCCTCAGGTGAGGACATCGGTGGCCTATGGGGAGCTGGGACTCTTGGGGTGAATGTGGGATAGGATGTCTTACAAGAATGGAGTTTATGGATTGTGACTGGGGAGGTCCGGTCATTGTGCGATCGTGTCTGAGTGTATGTGACACCATGTAGATATATCTAGAGATCAGCATAGGGCTCCTTGTCACCTCTGTGGCTGTGAGACTTCACAACTGTGTCCCCAAGTGACCTCTCTGAGGTTCGGCCAGATTCTTGCCCTGGACTGCCTTGTCCTAGAGACCCTGAAATTGGACAGGATGCCCCCATTCTTCCTGCTTCTCCACTGCCATTGTGGTACAAAATGAGGATGAGGCTGGTAATTTCCTTGGATCGGAAAAAAAAAAAAAAGCCTGGCCTCATAATTATTTTGCTTCTTCCAGTTGCTTCAGGTGAGTCGCCCAGAAGACGAGAAAAAAAATGCGTGATGAACTTCTACAAGTAATATCCAAGGTGTGGTGGGATTTCCTTTCTGCTTGCAATCATTGGAAAATACTTGCTTAATGATATATCACTAGAATATAGGTTCCTATAAGCTCCCCTTTGGAGACAAGCATAACTGTGCCTGGTATTAAAGCCTAATATCCTTCATAGATGAAATCACTTATATTTGAATAAAGAAAAAGGCGGTCACTTCTGCTTGCTGAATGAAAATTGTATGTTTTTATTAGGAAACTGAGTCATGAGGGTATTAGAATTTAAAAAGGGAGTACAAAGTGACCTAAACAAACCAGATCAATGGAAAGTTGAAGACTGCCACTGCCATGGTGACCAGAGGAGAGTCAGGAGACATGAGGTGTGGCATAATGGAGGGGAGGGGAAGAGATGGCCTTTCCCATTTAGATTAAGCTTTCTGGCAGGAGAATAAGCTGGAGAAATACAGGAAAGTCTGGGGTGAGGGGACAGGTGGTGGTCAGTGGGCCTTGCCTGGGGAACAACATTGAGTTATGAAAACAGATTTCTACCACTTATTTTTTTTAGGAAGATGTATTTACAAAAATATTTGACTTTGGG